CACACACACACACACACATATATATAAACACATACATACATACATACATACATCAATTATCATTTTTCAAAGTTGTCTCAATGAAAATATCAATTCCACATGAACATAATACTAAGATCAGCCATTCAAAATAAAGCCATACAAAAGTGATTCATCGTCTGCATTTGTAATTATTTTTATTTAAAAGAGGAATCTCATATCTAGGCTATGAACCTCCTCCTGAAGGACGTAAGCTTCTTCTGACCCTCCTCGTTCACCCACACCGTCGCCTCATATTTGCCTAAACGATAGGAATCAGATCCGAAGGTGGCGAAGAAGACGAGGCGGTAGTTGATTCCGGCGACGATCTGAGTTTCACCCCTCGTTACGTTCACCAGGTTCAGATTCAAATGGGTTTTGTTGTTGTATTCATCAAGCGCGAATTTCACGATCTCCCCTACGATCGAATCGTTCAAGTTCTTGATCGGCTGCCATCCGCCGTCGATCAGTTCCCTCCGGCTGTCACCGTCTGTGGCGGTGGCTGTGGCGGCGGCGGCAACGAGAAGGGAGATGAGGAAGAGGATGGATTTCATTTTGGGGCTTGGATGGGTTTGTGCGTTCGTTTGGTTTGAATTTATAAGGGCGGCAGGTAGTGGAGGGAATTTATGGTTGAATTAATTGTTGCATTCAAACGATTTAGTAACGGCTTTTATGTGGTAACTGGTAACGGTCTGATGTTGTCGATTTGTTTTTTTTTTCCTAGTTTATTGTTATGGTTTGAAATGAAATTTTTTATCTTTCGAAGGTCAGATGTGAAAAATGTCAAATCTTAACATGAATTTTGAGATATGTTTTTAGGAGGAAGTATTTAAATTCAAATTAAATATTATCCAAAATTCTAATTTAAGAAACTTGTAGTCGAACTCACCGGCCCGATAAGACAACCCCAAAGTCACATGTACACCCAGAATGGTCTGCACATATCTAAAAGCAGTTTGACGAACCAAATCAAAAGCTAAATGTTTGGGGGGAAAACTCATGGTCGACCAGGCGGTCTAAGGTTGACCGACGAAAGATTATATTGGCCGACCGAGAGCGGACAATCATGTATGATGTAAAATGTGAAGATCTATAAAATTTCAACAAATTAGCTAAAGTTTGACCTTCTAGTGGACCAACCATCCCTACCGGTCGTGAACAGAAGGTTGATTAGTCATCTATGGTCGGATATCGCCTCAGATAATCCATTAGTCATCCTAGTCGAACCGTATAGGACTAACCGACGAGTCTACCTTGACTAGCCATCCAGATTCAATCACCCGCAACATTCAATCCCGAACAACTGCTAAACATAAAAATTGCTCGACATCCTGCTGTAAAAATTGCTCGACACCCTGCTGAAATGGCCGACCGACACCATCTCAGCCGACCGAAGGAGGAGTTTGTCGGTCCAAGAATCCAGTCACATCAAAAGATGACAAAAGTGGTTACCAAATATAAAAAGATCAAAATATCATGTACCCTCTCATGAAATCAGAGGCATAAATGTGATTTCTATCTTAGTAACGATCTATCTTCTATTAATAGAGGATTCAACACTTGTAAAGGAATTTTTGGCTCTCAAATACCGACCAATGTTCTAAATGGAGCATCTCCCTTCTTCCCATTTATTTAATCTATCTTATATATAGATATATATAGATAGACTTATGTCTCTCCCCTATGGTTCCTATCGCTTTGATTCTTGGGCATGCCTCGCTGGACAAATTTAGATTCAACATCTCGAAAATTCACCCAGCACATGTCTTATCAAGCCTGGACTAAGCCATTAAACTATTTTTGAAAGCTTTGGAGACTAATTGGAAGGTCGAATAGATTCTGAATATGATAATGTTATAGTTGAATCAAATGTCTTGGTGAGATGAATCCAAAGAGCCTAAGACCACTCAATTCCTACATCATGAAGGCATTTAAATGTCCAAAAAATATCAACTTATGATGGAAATCTCTATAGGTCATCCGATAGAATGGTCTGGATCTCTTCCTTATTTGCAGGGGAGGTACTTTGAGATTCTTTAAATAAACCTGGACTTGGACCTGGAGGAGAAGAGAATGCAACAATTTTTGGGTTGTTATGGACTGAAGACTCGACGAGCCCTTCCTGGCCATGATGATGTCAACCACTGCTCACTGGCCATCGTCGACCATCATCAACCGCTCCTTGCTCGTCACCATAAACGAATCTTACATGATAATAAAGTATGGTGCAATGATGTGCTCTGATGACGGTGCAACATGTGCCCCAAAAATAGTGCAAGCACGTAGCAAGAAGACAAAACAACCTTGAACCCTGTAAGAATGTATAACCACACACCTTGAAAGATGGTGCAATAAAAATCTTCAAAGGTTGTGCAACGATGCGCTCAAAGACTTGGCAACAATGTGTCTCTAAGAAGATGCAATGTTCAACAATAACTGCTTACAATCGTCATTCTCAAAATATACCGACCTTCTCTGAAATTCTGAAGTGATTTTTACACAACTCCCCACTATGGCCTATGACCTATGTGGTTCACTACAATTGCAGTCCCTTACTACGATCTTGGTGGCAAATTGACACTACTATAACCCCCCACTATGATTTATGTGACCAATCATAACTTATGTGGCTCACATCTCATACTGCTCAAACTTTGTGGCCTACAGATGTTGCAGCTCACCACTATAGTTTATGTGACAAACTATGACCTCCGTGGCATCTCATACAACTTTCAACTCAATCTTTTGTGGTCTATGAATGTTATTGTATCTCACTACTATAATATATGTGACCAACTACGATTTACGTGACTCATAACTCAAGCAGCTCTCAACTCCAACCTCAATAGCCAACAAACGTTGTTGCAGCTCACCAGTACGACCTACGTGACCAAATTTGACCTGCATGACTTACTAATCATCCGACTCCCAGCTCTATCATCTGTGGTCTACAAACATTGTTGCAGCTTCCTACTGTGGCTTACATGGCCAATTGTTGTGAATACATTTTTTTATTCTGTCTTTTGTGGCAAATAAACACTTCTAAAGATGCCACATACAACCTACGTTACCAAACACTATCACAACTTCTAAGTCAAGTTGACGCTGCAGCCGTCGTCAATACTGCCTTCACAACAATCGATTACGATCTTTGCGACCTGTTATAGTTATTATTGTTGAACTAATGTTAAACATAAACATTATAATTCTATCTTCTCTAACTCGAGAGGATAGCGGGTTTATGTACTTATAATTGCATAAAGGGTTATTTCAAATGAATTAGGCTAGTGATTTTTTCTTTTACAGGGTTTCGAGGTATCTCCTCCTACTTAATTCTTTTTTATTTGTGTGCGGCGTTAGGAAAACAACTTATTATTCGACCACCAGGAATTTTCCGACACACATCAATAAAAAAAAAAAAAGAAACTTATTTGTACAAGATATTTACATAATGTACAATTTTAATTTTTACATTTATGCCACCCGAATTCTTTCATTTCACTTTAAAAAACTCCATCATTCTAACTTAAAAAAAAAAAGTAAAATAAACCGTTTCTAGCCTAGGTAAGCTGGTATGTATGAAAAAGTGAAGTTAGGGGTTAGATATGTAAATACACTACTATTAAGTGGTGTGTTTGTAAATCTTTCTTTTTCTTTAAAATTTAGAGTTTTATTTGCATTTTAATATATTAGGAAAAGATGAAACATGTTTGTGATAGGATAATTAAATCATATACAAATTAGGATGATCACTCCCATCTTAAAAACATTTTTGTTAATACTTATTTTTATTCTTTTTCTCTCATTTATTTTTTAATGAGTCTTCAGTTTGTTTATTTATAACTGTTGTATTATTCTTTATCTGAGTAAATCTTTCTCTCAAATAAAATGAATAATTCGAATAGGAGAGAAACTGAAGCATACGTCTGAAACAAAATCAGATCGAAATTATCTTGGGGACATCTCCGCAAAGAAGACCTTACGAAAGCAATCCACAGCCAGAGAATCAAGTATAAATGTTTGTATTGTGGTCAAGGGCGTCGTCCAAAGGAACGTATTCCATTAGCTAATTACATCTTAAGAGATACCCAAGAAAACTCTGAATAAAAAGAGTATTGCTTACATAATTTAAGGAAATTCAGTTATTTGAGAAACCAATGGATTTAAATCATCTCAATGGAAAACCCCAATGCATTTGATATCTATAGCGAGTCATAGTGCAAAGGGTAAATCACCGTAACCACTACGGGCGGCGATGCTAAGGCATATGAGGCCCATAAGACGATATCAATGATTTGCCAGAGGAATATATAGGGTGCAAAATAGGTGTCAACATGAATGAAAATATCTCCTAAAAAGGTAGAGGTGGCTGGGTCAGGATACTAGAGATCCATCATCCCAAGCGATGTAGACATTAAGTATACTTTGCTGTGAAGATAATCGGCTCAGCACAACCTGAGTATCCTTATCAAGAATCCTCGAATTACGTTGTCCAAGGAAGTCTGGGCAGCCCTAAAGTCAAAGAAAGCAAACTCTAATTCATATGACCTTAAATAGATAAAGCTCAAAGGGATGGGACTTGCGCTTGTCAAGGAAAATGACAGAGCTACCGTTGAAAAGAGGAGAAAATGAGGATCATCTATAAAGTTGTAAATGCTCAGCTCAAAGGACTTATACCTTGTCTAGGTTGGGGATGCTTTTAATGCCCTATTCATACTAGACTGCCTTCTTTGTATGAAGAAGCACGGGGACTTCTCCTTCGGTATACACATATGATGCAATTGTCTATCACAATATTATGATGTGAAGAACCTATTAATTATCATGGGGGTTATGTCCATGCATGTAACCCATTTTAAAACCGATCTGAAGACCATGCAAAAAAGTAAAGCCCGGGTTTTGAAAAATCGGAATAATTTAACCCAAAATTTTAATTAATCTTTATCTTTTATTGTTAAAATTTTGTAGAAAGTTTAGAGTTTTAGTGTCATTAATATGCCTAAATTATTTTTGTGATCAATCTCAGATAAAACAACAAACAGAAATAAACACAAAAATAAAGCAGTCATAAAAAAAATCAAGGAAAAACCAAGCAAAATATACTTTGCATATATATGCTTAGTTCTAATTCCATACAAAAGTATAAAAAATAAGGTATAGGACGAGCTAATGTTCTTGGTCTCTGTCATGTAGTTCAATGTATCATCCACCTCAGAACCCGTGCTCGTACCTTATTTTTGATACAAATTCGATTTTAGGATTCTATCAAATATGTGATAAAAGAAAAATAAAGGACTTGACCGGCATAAAATATTAGCACGAGTTATCTCATGCAACACATATAAGCCATGGCTAGTGGGAGGAGCTTACTGCAACACCTACATGAGAGTTAGTATGAAATTATTATTCCTCCCTTATTATATCTGTGTGTGTGTGTGTGTGTGTGTGTTTAGGCATGACTCCCTGTAAGAAAATCATCCCGAATATACTATTGGGCATGTCCACACTTAGTAAACACACAAAACCACAAACAAAATGATGCATGGCTAGGGCAAACAACAAAGCAAAGAGTAATAACTAAACATCAAAAAGGACTATTAAGAACTCTAATCATA